TCTCCTGCCCGCTCCCTTCACACTCCCTCCCTGCTCAAATCCTCATCATGCCAGAGACATGCCATTGACGTTCATGCCGCCAGGCCTTTGCCTCTGCCCTTCCTGCCCCTGGAATGATCTTCCCCTGGTGCTCTGACTGGTGACCTCCTGAACTCAGGCCTGGCTGGCCTTCCACTCTGTGAAGCCTCTTCTGGCCCCTCTTAACAGTCACGGGGACCCTCCTCTGCATACATCCCTCTCTCAGATCACTTACCTCCGGGGAAGGTGGGAGTGGGGGTCATAGTACCCATTGACTTGTCTAGAAGAGCAGATTCCACTTTTCTTCTCTTGTGGATCCCCAATGCCCAGAACCAAGCACAGAAGACCCTCCATAAACATGTGTTGAACGGGTGTAAGAATGATTTCCCTGCTCACCTGGGAGCCCCTCAAGGACATAGCCAGCATGCCACTTACTTTGATGTGATTTCCACTTGCCGCTACTCCCAAATACCACCTTTGCCCACTCAGGGCTCAGAGACAAGGTGCCAAAAGGCCCCTGCAGCGCCACTGCTGACCAGAGCGACCCTCCTGGCCCAATCTCTCAAGGCCCAGCCTTGCCCAGGTCCTTCGTTTGGAGACAAGCCTCCCGGGAAGGGTGCCACCAGTGGGACACCTAGTCCAGCTCCATTGCCCAAGCCCAGAGCTGTCTTCCCAGACCTGGGTCCCAACATGGACCCTTTTCCCAGAGGCTCACTGCTCTAAGTCAAGTCTTGTAAACCCACCCCTCCTCCAGCGCCGTCCCGATCCCAGCAGCTCATCTCCCCAGCCCTGGGCCATGGAGATCAGCGGGGTGTCTGTGTCTTTAACAAGAACCAAGTGTAATACATAAAAGTATTCTGGCAAAGAAAACTTCCCTCATTTATTTTCCAGGGGCCTTGGCTCAGCAATCTTCCCCTCCTAACCTGCTTTGTGCTCTGTTAGCTTTGCTTCCTGATAGAGCAGAATTTGGTTTTCTAATAGCATCTGTCATATGCAGGATGTCCCCAAACATGAGCGGTAATGAGTTGGAAGTAGCATAGTTGGAAGTCTTCAGAAGCCAACAGCAGATGTCAGCCCCTCCGTGGGTCCCCCTGAGGCTTTGGGGCCAGAGCACTGGGTAAAAGCTAGGTCCAGAGCCCTCAACTCTCGGTCCCCAGGAATCATTCATCCAAAAGACATTAGAGTGCTGACCATGTGTCAGGTCCTGTGTGGGCTCTGGGAAGATGGGGCCCTGCCCACAGGGTGCTGTCATGGCTGGTTATCCATGAAGGACAGAAGTGGTGGTAGAAGAAAGTCCTCACCCCCAATCATTAGGCTGGGCCATCCCCTGGGAGGCGGCAGGGCATGAGATGTGCACTCAGACCTGGGTGGGCAAACAATCCTCACCTCAGTGGGTTGCTTGAGAACAAATAAAAGCATAAAGTACCCAACACCAAGTCCAGCACATAGTGGTCCCTCCAGCATCTGGGACCTGACAGGTGCACATGGACTGGGGTTGGCAGTGATCACGGATGGTGCTGCTGCTCGCCCGGGGCCAGGGTTCTTGTCTAGAGGCTTGGGCGGTTTCTGCCCTCTCCTGGGAAAGACAGAGCCATCCCCGGGCTCCTGGAGACCTTAAAATAATGGAAGAGGGCCCCAGTGGAACCAAGGCTTCTGGAGACAGGAACCAAAAGTATTGACAGATCCAAAAGTATTTCTTCAAACTCCACCCGCCCCCATTCCCAGGTCCTCCTGCAGGCATGCCAAGAGCTGCTCTCTAGAAAAATCGCTCCTGTGGTGGTGCCATGTCCAGCAGAGGAGAGGGAAGCTGGTAAGTCACAGTCTGGCCTTGCCCATGCCAAGGGGCTGCCAGCCCCACCAACCCAGGTGTTTCTTCCGCACCACAATCCACAGGGAGGGCCTCTTTTGACTCCCCCTTACAGGTGAGGACATTCTGGCCCCAGCAGGTGAGGGTTTCAGGGCCGCGGCCCCTGCGGGTGGCCTTGCACAGGTCGCTCCCCCGCTCCCCGCCCCCGCGAATGTGCAGAAGTGGAAGTCTATGGACCCTGAAGGGAATGGAGTAGGGGCAGGACTTTGTAGGTTTTCATTCTTCTAGAGGACTGAAGACGGTTTAGAAAGCAGGTGGGATACGGGTGGAGAGTGGGGTGTTCCCCCTCGGGCCTCCGTCACGTCTGCCAACAGAGGGGGACACGAAGCCTGGTGGCCCGGCGTCCCCTCCCCGACAGGCTTCGGAGGTGCGGACGCCCCCCCCCCGCCCCCGCCGCCTCCCAGGCCTCCGCCCGGCGGGACCGGACGCCGAGGCCCCGCTCTCATTTTGGGAGCCGAGGTGCAGGCCGGGCTGGGAGGCGGGCGGCAGGGAGTCCCCGGCAGGGCGCCCCCTGACGCCACCGAGCCCGCACCCGCCCCACGGCCCGGAGGCCGCCCCGCCCCGCCGCCGCCGCGAGTCCGCCGCCGCCGCCGCGAGCGCAGGGCTGTGACTGGA